TGACAACGACGGCACTTAACATATAATTGATATACTAAAATGAATGCACTAACTTGATAGAGTTGCGTTTAGTGGAGGCTGTCTGTTTCTCCTCCACCTTAAAACACATATTATATCAACCTATACATACAACACGTGCATGCATGTATCTACTTTACCTTAAAACATAAATCATATCAACGTATACATACAACACGTGCATGCATGTTTCTTCTTCACCTTAAAACACATATTATATCAACGTATACATACAACACGTGCATGCATGTTTATTCTTCACCTTAAAACACATATCATATCAACGTATACATACAAGACGTGCATGCATGTATCTCCTTTACCTTAAAACACATATAATATACAACGTATACATACAACACGTGCAAACATGTTTATTCTTCACCTTAAAATACATATTATATCAACGTATACATACAACACGTGCATGCATGTTTATTCTTCACCTTAAAACACATATCATATCAACGTATACATACAAGACGTGCATGCATGTATCTCCTTTACCTTAAAACACATATAATATACAACGTATACATACAACACGTGCAAACATGTTTATTCTTCACCTTAAAATACATATTATATCAACGTATACATACAACACGTGCATGCATGTTTATTCTTCACCTTAAAACACATATCATATCAACGTATACATACAAGACGTGCATGCATGTATCTCCTTTACCTTAAAACACATATAATATACAACGTATACATACAACACGTGCAAACATGTTTATTCTTCACCTTAAAATACATATTATATCAACGTATACATACAACACGTGCATGCATGTTTATTCTTCACCTTAAAACACATATCATATCAACGTATACATACAAGACGTGCATGCATGTATCTCCTTTACCTTAAAACACATATAATATACAACGTATACATACAACACGTGCAAACATGTTTATTCTTCACCTTAAAATACATATTATATCAACGTATACATACAACACGTGCATGCATGTTTATTCTTCACCTTAAAACACATATTATATCAACGTATACATACAACACGTGCATGCATATTTTTCTCCATTTTAAAACACATGTTATAAACAACCTATATATTTAACATTCTCATACATGTTTCTCCTTCACCTTTAAACACGCTAAATACAACGTATACATTCAATATATGTATACATTTTACACGTGTATGCTACTTTAAACATATATTCAACACGTGGAAAGGTAGGGCATACATGTAAGGTCAATATTCGCCATATAACATCTCATAAAACCTATATAAACTTATTTTGGAAAAGAGATGCCCATGGGCCCAGGTGCTAAGGGACCCATACCGTTCACGACACAGGGACCATGGCCTCTCGTCAAACTGGTCGGTGGTATCCCGACTGATTGAATATAAAGGCTGCCTGTAAACGTGCCATCATTAAACGTCTTCTATTTTCTACTTTATCCGGGCAACATTTATTTCAGCAATTTGGCAGTTATAAAACCACCGACTGGAACATGGCCTCCTGTAAAAGAGGAGTTTGTTCGGCAGGGAAGAAACCAAACTGGACTTAATAGATGACCTTGTCTCACTCCAGTGCACTGCTGTACTTCTCTCGTCGTCGTTTGAAATGGAAGGATAATTGTTAATAATTTTCTGTATTCAAACCTTACTGTCATCTGGGTGCATTGTCAAACCCATATACTACCCTTTAAAATCAGGTTTTTCAGACGACTCATACAGTTTGGGTATACATGTTTAAAATGCAGCCAAATCAGTGATTTATGAGACATGTATAATGTTCATTTACACGAACTATATATGTCTATCTTGATATTAATGTGTATTTATTTTCCCGATAAGTAATTTCCCGACATTCGACTTTTGACGGAAGTTATTGAGCCAGTTTGAAGTAATTCTGTTGTTCTTGAGCATTTATCGACATATAAGTTGGTTTGATCTATCCACCAAAATGTGTTTGTATAATTTATGTATTTATAATTTTGTTTTACATGAAAAAACAAGAGCCACATATACCGTCGTTATGTTATATGCGGTAAGATACGCTACAAGGCATATAACTGCATCTGTTTAGTGTAATTAGTAGTTTAGTATGCTGCTAACTAATAATGTTACCACGTTTCTATAACCGTATGCAGTGAATAGCGAAACAAATATGAAAGACTTGGGGTTCTAAGCTATTATTGTAATATCGTATACAGTGTTGACTAGGATGTACTGAATGATCGAACTATAGATACAGAAAAAATGTCCATGATCTGATTAAAAACATCGATGACAAGCAAAAATACTTTGGTATTCATTAAGACAAAGTGCGTAATTCTATGTCAGTCAAGGATCAGGGGCATCTCATTTACCTCTCAATTGCATCAGCTGATTCTTGATCATGACAGACCATCTTATGAATAATTAAAGGAAATATAGGAAATCCTTGGAGCTGTACTATTCCTGAAAACGAGATGGCTTTTGTTATATTTGTGCGCGCGACGTGTATGTACGCGAGTATGGCTTCATTGTGACGTGTATGTACATGTCCTAGTATGCCTTCAGTGTGACGTGTATGTACATGCATGAGTATGCCTTCAGTGTGACGTGTATGTGCATGCACGAGTATGCCTTCATTGTGACGTGTATGTAATCTCCCAGTATGCCATCAGTGTGACGTGTATGTACATAAGCGAGTATGGCTTCAGTGTGACGTGTATGTACATGCACGAGTATGCCTTCATTGTGACGTGTATTTACATGTCCCAGTATGCCTTCAGTATGACGTGTATGTACATGCGCGAGTATGGCTTCAGTGTGACGTGTATGTACATGTCCTAGTATGCCTTCAGTGTGACGTGTATGTAATCTCCCAGTATGCCATCAGTGTGACGTGTATGTACATGCACGAGTATGCCTTCATTGTGACGTGTATTTACATGTCCCAGTATGCCTTCAGTATGACGTGTATGTACATGCGCGAGTATGGCTTCAGTGTGACGTGTATGTACATGTGCTAGTATGCCTTCAGTGTGACGTGTATGTACATGTGCTAGTATGCCTTCAGTGTGACGTGTATGTACATGTGCTAGTATGCCTTCAGTGTGACGTGTATGTACATGTCCAAGCATACCTTCAGTGTGACGTGTATGTACATGTGCTAGTATGCCTTCAGTGTGACGTGTATGTACATGTCCCAGTATGCCTTCAGTGTGACGTGTATGTACATGTCCAAGCATACCTTCAGTGTGACGTGTATGTACATGTGCTAGTATGCCTTCAGTGTGACGTGTATGTACATGTGCTAGTATGCCTTCAGTGTGACGTCTCAGTACAAGCAAGGGATAAACAACTGGGTAGGACATGGTTATACAGTTTTGTGAATAACATGATATTACCTATACACAGAGATTAACAAGACGAACAAACAGAGAAGACTTCCTCTGTTAACTTGGTAAATTAACCGTCCAAAGTCACCCAAAGTCACCCAAATATTCAGCTTCATCCAGTCGTTTGAAGAATGAACACGACGAAAACTGTGCATCAGCTTTGTATCCAATGTCATGTGATTAAATGTCAGCAATAAAACTATTAAAAGACACCTATAACCAAATAATCTTACATCTATCTAGGAGGTTTTTTCAACGCAAAAAAAAATTTGCTGTTGTATTTTATTGTGGCTATTACAGTTGCCTGAGAGAGGTAATGTCGTTCTGTTATATTTGTAAAGGAACGTTTTGGTATGATCAAAGCAGTATGTTCGCACTGTTGAATTAAACTGTCACCGACCTGGGCGAGTAACAAGTGACCATTATTTACAGCTCTCGTTAAGTGTATGCATGAACAGAAATACCAAGGGACAATTCACTGCTGGCAAATTCATGACTGACCAACCAAAGATGGCCGAATCCACGTAAATTGCTTTTACCTTGCAAATTAAGGCTGCGTCAGTACACCTGGATTAATTATTTATCGATAGAGTTAATAACACACAGGTGGAAATCTTTGTATACTTGTCATTGTCTACAACGTCTGGCAGTATTGCTTGTACGAGTCGATGGACAAGACAAATACGCACACATTTGTCACGACAAATATTTCTCTGTCCTTTGAATGCTGCGCTGTGATTGTTTGTAGTAAAGAAACAAATGAGCACTGCCAGCGAAATTTACTGAGACATTTATCAATAATTTAACCCAAATGAAATTGATTTTCTTTGAAAAGTAATTCTTGGTATATTATAGCCATAATACATGAACCTGAAATCTTACCATGTTGCCCTTGTTTGTAGAGCCGTCACAAGTTATTTGGGGCTGTCGGGTAGCCTAGTGGTTAAAGCGTTCGTTCGTCACGCCGAAGACCCGGGTTCGATTCCCGACATGGGTACAATGTGTGATGCCCATTTCTGGTGTCCCCCGCCGTGATATTGCTGGAATATTGCTAAAAGCGGCGTAAAACTATACTCACTCACTCACAAGTTATTTATGTTCACTTGTAACCAAATAAAATGTAACTTTACTTGTAAGCAGCAAAAATAATTCAAAGTTAGAATTTCGTTTCTACTAAATCAGTAATTGCTATGCTGCGCTGGATTGTCTGGTCCACTTTCACTGGACTGTAAGGTTAGGACCCCCTTGTCGCAGAAGCATTGCAAACCAGCAAACAAACATTTACTTCTTTATGCACATTTATGCACCTTGTGTCATTACAGAATTTCAGTGATCCATTCATATAATTGTCACCTCATTTTGCCTTTTATGCCTAATGGAAAACGTTTCGGCACATAATCGAGTCTTATTGTTATCAGGCGTTGATGTGTTATATTTATTACTATAGACAAAAGGATTTGAACAAAACAGTAATTATAGCTCTGATGTCAGTCAGCAAATATATTTCTTTTTCGCATGGATAGAGTTTACGCGGCTGCAAACTATCATATCTCAGTAATGAAAGTAGATTAGTGCGAGTTGTGAAACCGCCCCATGCATTCTTTCCTAGCTTCCTTCCGACATTACAACACCTCGGGCTCTGCAACAATCACTCGGGGACCATTAACCGACGACTACCTTCAACTGACGCCCGCCTTGGGTGTATCTGCCTTGAAGGTGTTTGGGATTGATCCACACTAAGATTACCTGACCAGTGGCCACTTAACAGGCAACCTGTGTTCACCTGGGACTGACCGGGACGTCGGGTCAAGCCAGGTGCGCCCATTCACCTGGAACTTGTCATCAATTATCAAGTTGACCATTGAATGAGTCCGCTCATGGAAGGAAGGACACTCGGCGATTTGAACACAAGGTTAATGAAAAGTAATGGTTTTATTGTGGAGAAAATCTGGATTATAAACTCATTAGTTTGTAATCTATTTTTGTTATCTTTTATCATAGAATGCTAATGGATTAACAATCAAGAATATGCATTTAATTCGGTATACATGTATTAATGAAACGCGCTTATCTTCAACAGGAGGGCGGATTGTTCACAACATGTTAAAGATTTCAGAGATCTGTAGAAACTTGTATTGTATGTAATTAGGAGAGCCAGCGCGTATGTACGGGCTGGTTATTACGGAAAGAAAGGCGGCTTGAAGAGTGTGTCTGGAAATCCTTGATTTAATTTGTTCCCTTTGAAACTATAAATTTGCTAATTGGAAAGAACCCCTGTACCTGTGATTGTCTGTACATTGTCAAAGAAGGCCATTGTAAGTTCATGAATATATGTAGGAATGAGCGTGCAACAAACGAGGGTTTTATTGTAAGCCTAACATTGAGGACTCTCGTTCACTTAAAGGTAAAGTAAATCGTTATTACGTGGCTTGTCATCTCGTGGAAATTATTGCTAGATATACCAAGATCTGTATTTCAACGGCTATAGAATAACGGATACAGTGTGATCAATTCCTAACTTCAATCCATTCTACCTAACACTCTATTGAACCGTACCTATGATTCGAATATTGACAATCGTGCAATTTGTTATTTTAGCTAAAAGGCTGTACTTGTTCTTCAGGGTACTCGACAGTACAACATTGCTGGCACAAGTTGATTGACAGTTAAACTAGTAACGCTTGAATTCCTTTGCAAGGGAAATGGTGTAGATTGTTCTGGGCGACTCCATCCACCTGGCCGCTACAGACTACTCTGGAACTCGCATCATCAGCAGTATTCGTGTAACGAACAACATCCACTTCCAGGAACCATTTCTAAGACACGTCTCCAGTTCCAGCAGCCTAACCGATGGTGGTTGCACGTGGACGTCTTTGACCGTCACGCGCAGATGCACGCCGAACCCGCTCATCGTTGCCAATGGTTACGCGTGTTGTTACCCAAGATAATTTCAGCACCGCATGCTATGTAAGCGACTGACCCTAGTACGATTTATTTTATTAATGGATACCGGTAGAAACGCAAGCCAATCAATAGATTTGGGCGTTCTACTCTCACGCCAGCCGATGTGGGTCTTGGTAGCAATGGGAGGCCGAGATGCTGCTTGCCAAATATAACCACCAGTCACATTCTAGCAGTATATGTTTGGAATTGGAACTAAACCCCATTTTTTTTCATTGTTATACGCTTCACCTTAATATTCTGATTTAATCCAGCTTTCCTTTAAAACATCTCCTGAATAAATAAAATGTAGTATGTATTATAGATGAGTCATCGTGTTTTCGGATGTGTGGGGTTTGTTAGTGAGTGCATGTTGTTTAATGGCCCAGTCAGTGGTATTCCAGACATGACAAGAGTGTATTTCAGACACACGAGTAGTTGATAGAGAGAGCAACGATCGAAGGCATTCGTGTTACGATGCCACACATTATAACAACCAAATCCTCATTCGTGTCTGCCCAAACTACATCTATCCTATTCTTCGCGATTTCTCGGGAGATTTGTGATTAACCAATGACATACATGCACAATAGTGTTTGTATGTTTGTTTATAGTTTAACGCCGCACTCAGCAATAATTAAGCTATATTACAACGGTCTGTAAATGATCGAGTCTGGACCAGACAATTCAGTGATTAACATCATGACCATCGATCTACGCAGTTGGCATACGATGACATGCATCAACCAAGTCAGCGAGCCTGACCACCCGATCCCGTTAGTCGCCTCTCACGACAAGCATGGGTTGCTGAAGACCAATTCTAACCACGATCTTAACGGGGTATTTCTGAAAGAGATTTCTGAATCGTTTATAACGATATCATATCTTTAACTGTTATAATTTCTAATCGATTATTGTTCCTTATGCCTAAATGCTAAATAACCGATCGGCTTTATTTAATTTAAAAGAAAAATAATTGTTCCATAACTCTTAAAGTAGAAGCCGTCGTTAGATGGTACTAAATTCACATTTTGTGTGGTATATTACGCGGTATATTTGACGAGTTGACTTTAAGTCTATGATACAAGGCTTCTTCGCTTCCTATGGGTGAGAGGCTGACTTAAACATGACATTAAAGGACACTCGATACACAACAGTTCGAGCTGCGCAGTGAACACAAAGCCATACCAGCAGCCAACCTTGTCATGATACTCTAATTCCTTAACATTAGCGCTGTATGTCCATTTGACCATTCTCAGCTGTTGTTCCGTGATATATTCTTTTCAATAAAGACTACTTTTCCATTGGATAATATTCACGTGTCATGATCCTGGTTGGTGTTTAGGGCAATAAGTTGGCATTTGTTGGCATCACATGTGTATTATTGCCATGTGATCTGAATGTCCTTGAAATTGGAACTCGAGACTTTGGTGAGGCTGTGCGTGTGACACAATTCAATCCCCAACATAATATGAATATTTTGCAGTTACCTTTCAACGATACTATGGCTGCCCTTATCGTTGAGAAAAAAAATCAAATCTGGTTGCGGTATTTCGTGACCTTGTTTGGTGTAGATGATCTCATTTTACAGTCGTTGTCCAAGATACCTTTCGCTTTTGGGACAAACTGCAGAACATGAACGTATATTACAGAAGAGAATACCTGTAATATTGACCTTTTAACGAATACGCAAGATATAGATTTATGTGTGTGGGTCATGTGAGTTTATATTCCCACCTGTTTGTATGTAACACACGCCAGCAGCAATGCTTAATCACCTCAATGCCCTTCACGTCCTTAATGCCCTTCGAGACCACAAAACTTACACATGTTTGCCAAAGCCGGACCTTCAGCTCACAAATACCAGATGTATTTTAAATGTAAATAATTTCAAAAATGATACTCTAAATCGTATTTGTATGCAATAAATAAATGCAATACAGGTAACCTGCATTGTGTTTCAATATCCTTTCAAACTACATCGTCATATCAAAATTAAGGTTCATTTTTATCTGTCAAACACGACGTATGTTTTTAAAATGCTTTTGAAGCATAATATTTTCTATTAAATTATAAACAGGGTAGCTATGAAAGTTCCATAATGATTCCGTCTACGAAACTGACTTGCTCCAAAGTGGACCTAAATTACCGACTATGAATGGAACACATTTTGGCACAGTCATGTTTCTGGTAGGTGAAACTTTACTGGGTTATATAGGTCCGTGGTTAATGAAAAGCTGTAAATGGTCGTCAAGGGTGCTATTTCAAGATGAACCCAAGAGTTTGAATATTCATGCTTTGTTGTTGTGAGAAACTTTGAACAAAACAAACATCCATACTCTAGTGATTCCTACACAGGGGATGTGAGATGCTGCTCTTGTCATTGCATTAATTTGCTGGAAGTTCAAGTCAGTGAGAACCAATCGATAAAGTGCACTGTGTAACCCTCTTCGGATCATCTCTCCCGTAGACAGATAGTTTGGTCACGCCTCGCTAGTACAGCCAATCCAATTCCCGTTTTCAGATCTGCTGTCATTAACGACCAATCAACTTAGAGCTAGTTTACCCATCCACTCCTCTTGTGTTGTTCCCCAGCATGTGTCTGGAACCATCAGGGACATTTCGTGGTGCTATCAAATATAGATAAAAACTTTCTCAAGCAGCAAAACCGTTTGGTTCGTGTTTTGGTAAATCTCCATGGAAACGAGGCGGTGATTTTGGTGCAGGATTATCGACTGTCAATTAAAGTTGTCAATTATGTTTGTGATTTGTCCTTGCTGTCCCGGAGATAATGGGTGCACGGTCCAAACAGTCTCAGTAGGCGAGATGAGTTAACCACAAACAGGGTGAAATACGAGTCCAAGACAGCCATTAATACAACTACAACACATCCATTTGAAAAAAAATTACAACTTATCCTTTACTGTTTTCCGAAAAAGTAAAAAATTTTAAAATAAATATATTTTAGCCATTTCTGAATAGATCTCTCCCGCTTGTTGCGGAGTCTTGAGTGACACCCCGATAGGGTTAACAGACCCCTCCGAAGCATGCATTGTATTCTTAACATGAAAATTAGTGTTCGGGAATGTATGATTATACAAATGAAATCTACAAATAGTGTTAATAGCAATTCTGCTGACGCAGGGGGATATTAAGGTTACACGCTCTGTTGCCGAAGACAATGTTGAGAGGAGCAGGTAGGTTCATGGAGTCTGTGTGAAAATCTTGACTTCCCAAGTGTTTGGCAATCAGAGTACAATAGAGTTTATTTACGTTGCTTCTCCCCTGTTGTCACATCTAAGTTTAGTAATTTTATGGTTTATATGCATTCGTTGTGTTAATATTAAAATCTAAACAGATGAATAAAGTGGACAATGTAATGTGTGTGGTTATTCTATAAAAGAACGGGGCGGTCGGGTAGCCTAGTGGTTAAAGCGTTCGTTCGTCACGCCGAAGACCCGGGTTCGATTCCCGACATGGGTACAATGTGTGAAGCCCATTTCTGGTGTACCCCGCCGTGATATTGCTGGAATATTGCTAAAAGCTGCGTAAAACCTCACTCACTCACTCTATAAAAGAACGTGGAGAAAATCACGGACTGTATCGCGAACACTTAATATAACTATCACGTGGAATTACGAACACTCAGTATCGCGAACACCTGGTCTCGCGAACATTTATCATGAACACCTTGTATCGCGACCACCAGGAATCGCAAAACGTAACATCGCGGACACCTGGTATAACGAATACCTGTTTAGCGAACACCTGTTATCAGGAACACCTGTAACCGCGAACATTTAGCACCATCAACACCTAGTGTCATGGTATGCCACACACCTGATGTTGTCGCAATACTTTGTAAATAGGTTTATTCGTAATTTTCCTTTTCTGTGATTGGACATCTGTTTATTTTACACGTGAATCTCGTGTGGCTTAAACGTGTCTATTTTTAAACATGCAACTGTTCTGCGATGTTCTCTTATGTTTGACAATAAACGCGACCGTGAATCGTTGCAGTTAAACACGCTTTAAAGAGTCTCAAAGTAACAGTAAATATATCATTAAAACGGAAATCTTAACTGATACAAGGAAATAAACTTTTTCATATTTCCTAAGCCAAATAGGACGTGTTGGTTTATTGTAGGTCGTATGATAGAGGTAGACAGAAATATATTTGTTTCATGCGCTTATGATTTGTCCTAACCGTCACGGACATAATGGGTCCATCAAGTCTCACTGGGAGAGGGGAGTTAACCACAAACACGGTGAAATAAAAATCCAAGATAGCCAACAATACTATATCACACCCAATTGATAACCTATTATAACTACTTATTTGTTGCTTTGCAATAACGTAAATATATACGTAAAATAAACTGACCAAAATTAAATATTCACATGCCGCCGTGATAAAGTTGGAATATTGCTGACTAAATTACTTTCTCCACGATGCAAACAACATGCCCTAAACACTGCTGGTGCATGTTTACATCAATATTAGTTCACACATTTATGAAAATCAAAAGACATGGTCATAATGACGTTTCTTGTGCACTGTCGCTACGTCCAGGACAGCTGGTGTATTCACAGCGATTAGGAATATTTTTGTGAATTGTTAATGATTTATTCAATACCGCAAACATTATCATTAATGTGATAGATATATTTATATTTCAGGAATAGATTCATTACAATAATGTTTTCGTATAACTGATATAACATGTTTGATTGTTTGTTGTTTTACGCCGCAACATTTCAGCTATATGACGGCGGTCTGTAAATAATCGAGTCTGGGCCAGACAATCCAGTGATTGACATGATGCGCATCGATCTACGTAATTGGGATACGATGACATGCATCAAACAAGCTCAAGCAAGTCAGCGAGTCTGACCACCCGATCCCGTTAGTCGCCTCTTACGACAAGCATAGTCGCCTTTTACGGCAAGCATGGGTTGCTAAAGACCTATTCTCTACCCGGATCTTCACGGTGAGACAAGCATGGGTTGCTAAAGACCTGTTCTACCCCGAATCTTCATGGGTCGATATAACATGTTTGAAATAAAGTTATTTTAAATTGGCACAAGCGAGAACGTGCAATGGTTGAACATGGGGAGGGGCGCAAGGTGCTAAAGGATTAATGTCGGCTAGAAAAGATTTTCTGGAACTTGTGTCCTGTTAATCGATGCCATATATTAAATAAAACATGAAATGAATTATCCGTGTGGCGATTATAAAATATATTATCGCGCGAGTGTCCCTCATTAAACTTAGAAACAGAGATACAAAAGTATTTTAACAGAAAA